TTATTATTATTATTATTATTATTATTATTATTATTATTATTATTATTATTATTATTATTGTTATTATTACTATTATTATTATTAATTTATCATTATTATTGTTATTTACTATTGTTAATCAAGAAGGGATATAGTTTTGTTGACAAATATGATTCGTATGATAATGTTCACTGTTACTGTATTAACAATAAAGTGCCACTGAGTTTTGAGAAAATGCTAATATAAAGTTTGTTTGCTTTAATTATGTAAATGTTCATTGTCATCGCTGATATTATTGCAGAAAATAATTGAAGAAATATTTCTCAGCACACTACTGAAACTTTTTTTTTTGTCAGAAATAGGAATATATGGGTAAGAGAACTAAGTTCTTAGATTACATTGACATTAACATTAGCCTTTGATTTGATTTGAATTGTTGAGTATTGTATGTTAAGCTTTAGCTATTCTAAACTTTTAATCCTCTTTTAAAAATCGAAAAATTATGGTAATTATTCAGTGATGAAATATCATTTCTTCATAATAATCTCATTCCATTCCTCCATTAACGAATTTCCAAATTTCATTCCGTTTTTTTCTTTCTTCCAATTCAATTTTTAATATTACTTTTAAATTGAAATATTTCTTCCAAACTTTTCATGCCACCTAATTACTTGCCTTTTTATGAAATAAAATAATGGTGGAAAGTTAAAACGAAATTGATAAATTTGTGGATTAATCGTTAATGATAAATAATATTATATAAGTCTAGAATGCTAAGCTACATTAATGAAATATCTTAAGATTCAATTAATTCCTTTCTTTCTTCCTTTCTTAACATTTTGTATCTATGGTGACAGCTTATAAGAACAATATTGAAATTATCACTTAAAGAGTAAATTTCATATCAGCTATGCATGAATGAATTAAAATGAAGCAAATAAATTGAAGGTTTTAATTTGGAATTCAATTTGATGAAAAGAAAAAATACCGCTAATGTTTTTGTTTAAATTTTGCTTTTCATATTATATTGGTGATATAAAATATCCAATTAACATATATAATAAAGGAAAAAAAGAGAAAAAGAAAGAGAGAAAGTTGTGAGAGAAGAGAAAATTCTTATTTGTAAAGTAAACTGGGAAAAAAAAATGAATAGATGTATTATCGTTTTTTTCTTCCTTTCATGCTTTAGATGATGAAATTTTATAAACAAAATTGATTATATCCTTTATTTCATTCCTTTTTCTCATTTAATTCAAATAAACTTTTTAAAATTATTTGTGATTTACTAGATTTAATTGAAAGAATAAAATAATAAAAATACTAGAATAATGCGGGAAAAAAAAGATATGATAAGATTCAAAATAAAAGAAAAGGAAATTGAATTTATAATTTCCAATTTTTTTATCATTTTCTTAAAATGAAATATATGTGTATATATTAAAATATGCACAAAAAATNTATTTGAATATATATATATATAT